GAGAGAGAGAGAGAGAGGCGGAAGTTCAGACTGACTTGTTTTTCAGTTCTTTAGCCGCGGGTGGATTGATTTCAATCACTACCTGACGAATAACAGTCTTCCTCTCAGAGTGAGGATGCTCGCTTCGTATCCGAGCGACCTCGCCGTCGTTCTGGGCGTTGTGGTCGTTGGACAGTGTGTGAGCACTGAATGAACCATCCTCCTCCTGCACCCCCAACACGGCCCGGGCGTCCCCGGCATTGGCTATATAGCTTTGAAGATAAAAATGGGGGAGGTAGGGGTTTAGATATTAGCTTCATAGAAACAGCAACTGGAACGTTTTGTCACAATGTGCTGCTGGACATTTATTCTCCATACAGATCTGGTCCATCGATGTGCGCCACGCAGGCTGTAGCTCCAGAAAATGCCACTCTCAGAACCCAGTAGTGCAGAAACGCACTTGCGTCTCCAACCTGTAAGAGAGAAATCACACACATGGTAAGCACCTTAACGAGTTTATACCACATGGAGATGAAGTGACATCTGGGCTCATTTCTGCTCTACCAAAGTTTAAATCCGGAAATTCTCATTCCTAACATTGGCGGACTGGACTGACGGATGTCCTCAAGATCTCTTACTGATGGAAACATTCCTCAGATTTGACAGTCCAGATAAATTACATGACCTGTAACTCGACTCTATCATGACCGCTCATGGACATCTTAAACTGCAGAACAGGAAAAGGGTCAGCTCATGTTGTTGCTAGGAGGAACGCATCCAAGGTTTTTACCTATAAAAAGAAGCAGACTCGTATCAGAACTGTTCTCACCTGAGCTTCCAGAGAAAGGTCGTTGTCCAGCCTCTTGAAGGCATTCAGTAAGGCCTCTCGGGTGTCTGGAACGTCACCAGGGCTGAGGATGAAAATAATATTAAGACAGATTGTCTGAAAAAGAGGAACAGCAACCAAAAATTTCCAGATCAAACAATAACAGATTGGTCAGTGATACTGAGGTCACAAAGAGTAAAATAAGAAACCAGAAGGTTCTGTTTGAAATATTTCACATGACAACAATCACTGGTGAGAAAGACCACGTGATAAATTAACATGCATTGGACATTACAACCACACATTTATTTTTCAGATTTTTATCTGCTAATTTGGACGGTTATGGCTTCCAGCTAATGAGGATCCCAGATTTAGCTTTTCAAAAACATTAAATATTAAAAAGATAAGAGGATTTTTAATGTTATATTTTGGCTCATATAATATTACTACTGATTTGACATCGTCCATAAGGAGGGTAAACCCCAACAGGTCAAACAAAGAAACCCAATGGAAAATTTGAAACAGAACTTGATTAATTAGTGAACTAAATTACACTATTGATGATTTTCTACTATGAGAGGCAACTACAAAGTTGAAAAGCTTCAACTTAATTGGGAAGATGTTTTGAGTGAAAACAACTAGATTAGTTCATGTGTTAAATTGTCCAAATACTGTGATGAATTTCTCATACCGGCCCAAAACTCGTTAACCTGAAGCTCATAGATGCTCTTCATTCAAACACCAGAATAAAAACTCTAGGCATTAAAATCTGGATCAGACAAACACCAATAGGAATTTAAGGTTGTTATCTTTAGTACTGGGGGAATAAATACAAATGCACTCCATACTTCTCAGATTTTTATTAGTCTATCCAATTAATTAAATGAACTGAAGTTCTGCTTGCATTATGATCAAATGTGGAAATATAATTATTCTTGTGGACATGTCTTATTTAAAAATACTGTTCTTACCAGGATGATTATTTAATACAGTAATTACTGTGTGTTTCTCACCTGGTTAGGTCAATTAGCTCCTGCCAGTAGGTTCTCAGGCTGTTGAAGTAGAGGCTCTGAGCCTCCCGGGTGAAGTAGTCATTGGGGTGTTTGTGCCACTGCAGGATGGGACTGAGGGCTCGGCCGGCCTCCATCGAAGCCTCGAGCTCACACAGAGTATCATGGGGGAGCAGTGAGACCGCTATGTAGTAAAACAGCCTCTCACTCAGCGCCTGCAGAGAAAAATTCTGAGATTATAACAACATATATTGCTGCCGATAAAAAAAAAAAATGTCTTGGAAAGTGTCTAGCTGTTGTCTTTGTGCCTAAAAATAGCCTAATGAAGTCTGACATTACTGTTTGACCAATGCCTCAAAAAACAAAGAAATGAATTATAACCCCTTCGAGTGAACAGATCACCTGAGCGCAGGCGCAGCCAGCGTGTCCATCAAACACACCCAGTAGCATTCCTCGTGTCTGGAGGCAAGTCGCCGCGCTCCGCCGGTCCTCGATGGGAGCGTTGGCCGGAAGCTGGTTGCTTTCAAAACCCATCACAGATGACACATTTTTACCGTCGAACTCCGGCACCTGCAACCGGATGGTGAAAACAAACGACAGGATGAGAATGTAAACAAACAAATGATGAATCAGGAACTCTGTGCATGACCTGCACCGACCTTGAAGCTGTACTCGTTGGCTTTCAGGATGGAGTTGACCTGTGGGGGCGTCAGGATGTAATTGTGAAGCGCTGAGGACGTCCGGTAAGACCTTCCTGCCGGGTGCGTCTGCCATGTTTGGGACGGACCTCTAAGGACAGGCAGGGAACCGAGGTGGGACTGGTGGTGTTGGCATGGTAGCAGGCTGGAGGCGAAGGCCTTGGCACGGGGCAAACCCCTTAGTAGTTGGGATGTAACAGGCATCACTGATCATGCAGCACCGGTAATCAAAGCACCACCGATGTGCACACACCTGAAGAAGCACATCAAAGCTCAGAAGTACGCATGGTGAACAGAGCGTTCTCTGTTCGCACCATTAAGCAAACACTATGCAAACAAGTAGATTTATTCTCAGAAGGTTAAGTCATTCTGAATCGGAAATCCAAAAATCTCCAACACAAATTATTATATCTAGAGATGAAGATTTTCATGGCCAATGTCAACTTATAGTTTACTTTTTGGTCTGATCTGCTGATCTGAAATGGAAAATAGTTAATTTGTTCACTACTAATTATATGCTTACCAATCTTTGCTTCACATCAACTATTAAACCCAAACCCTGCTGCAGACAGATCGAATCAGATTAATGGCTTGAAAAGATTGTTGATCAACTACTTTTCTTTCTCCTGGACTCTGGCACTTCTATGTGTAAAAAAAATTGATAGGGTTATAGGGATCACATTTACTGCTAATACAGATCAAAATATTTCCTTAAAGCACTTCCCTGTTCAAATCTAGTTACACAGGGGCAACCTGTGTAACTCTATGCTTTATACAACTGGAGGAAACTTTGTCATGGTATTAAAAGGAAAAGCTATTTAACAGACATAGCAGTTTGGAACCGTAACCCAAGTTTACCAGTAGAAGGAGGAAGTCTTGTGCTGTAATTCAAAACTACAACGTGTCTTTTTGTAATGAGATGTCAAATTTGCAATAGAGGAGCAGGATTAGTTTGAGTAGCAGCTCTGCAGACCGCTGCAAATATAGGTCAGAAGTGATGCACGGAGAGTTAAAAATAACAGTACTGGCATTTGTTCCTCTGATAGTTATGACTGCTGCTGGCCAGAAAAACAGAGTCCTGACCGTGACTCTTCAAATAACCTGCTCCAATGTACTGATTTTAATATATCTGCAGCTTCTGAGGTCACCCTAATCTCTCTACGACTGGTTATTTCTATGTAAACCTGGAGCATTTTAGTCGTTTCTACTACATCAGTCTTTCACAGGGTGACCCTGGTGTGAACAAATATACTTTTTAAGGATAATAATAATAAACCTGACCCAAACAGACCAGAGGATTCTTTTCATCTCTGAGCTTTAAAAGTTGTTTGTTGACATAATTAGCTTCTCTAAGCTAATTACCAACCAGGGACAGAACGCAGTTAGCCCACAAGATTTAAGCAACAGCAGTAGCTTTCGGAGACATGGAGTGAATTAAAAATGTTTAAATAGACTCACAGATGAAAACTCAAGTCAGTCGTGAAGGTAAAGCGTCCAGATTCAGACTAATGTAGCTAGCTCTGGGTTACACCCACAAACCGTCGATACAAACTGCTCCACTTACATAACATAAACATTCCAGGTACACCGGAGAATACTTTATAAAAGTTCGTTTGTTGAGAAGGGGACAAAACAGAACAAAATGTGCTCTTACCCTATCCGACAGATTTGAAGTAGATATTTAAGTTCATGACTCGAACCCAGCCCCTTCGGTTTGTGTTACTCCAAAGCGCCACACCTCATGCTGAAACCTGATTGGTTGAGCCTTAACCTACGCAGTGACGTCAACTCTCCCATGCACGTAACGTGTCAAAAAACAGAAAGCTGAATATCCCAGTCCCAGGTTGTGATACTGACATGTTAAATGGATGTGTTGTTGGATGAAAATGGCTTATAGCTTACGAAAAACCCAAATTTATTACAGAAAAAATGTCTTTTAGTAGAAATTTCAGTATTTTTCTCAGTGAAGTGACTTTGAATTCTGGAACCAAATCAAATAGTGTACAATTGTAATAGAAATGAACCCTGAATGATCAGAGTTGCACATTTAGTCAAATGTGTCATACCTGTCAAAATCACTAAAAAATATTTATCTTACAAAATGTTTGTAAAATAAATTATGACATACTCAGCAAAGTGATAGTAAAATGTTTAAATTAATGGGTTTGATTGATAAAGGTACAAGTGATACAAATGTATGAATAAATAACCATGCAAACAGTAAAACTTTTTAATAATTGCAAATATCTTTACAATTAGGAAAAAGTTAATTTCTATATTTTAATGCTACAAAATAAAATAGAAAGGAGAGAAAAAAAACCCAAAGATACTACATATTTGGCTTTCACAGTGACATTTTATAATGTCCTATCAATAACTATTGATGTTAAAAATGTATATCATATCCTTATGTAACAAAGAAAAAATGAAAACACTGAAAGAGACAAAAGAAAGAAAAGGAACTTCATAATAAAAACAAAACTCCAGTCATATTTTATAGAAAACAATTTAATCAATATAAAAGCATACAAATATTTCCAAAAAGACAACATTTGCATTAAATTCAGCAGTGAACAGATTCCTTTAACAAGAACAGAACAAGAGAGCAGTAAACATCTTTGCCACCGAAAACAGACCCTGAGGTCTATATCAGAAACCTCTGATCCACCAGCGTTTTGTTGGCAAGGTTCCTTCTCCCAAGAGTCTTACGGATAAAGCGGAACATCTGCAATAAATACATTTAGGTTTAATGTACATTTTTACTTTGGTGAAGATAACGCACTAGAAAAACATAAACACCAACCATTTGCTGTAGGTGTGTGAGAACAGCTGCGAGCACAAAGTTCTGAGATCCAAGGTCAACAACACAGAAGAATAAAATGTCAAAGATCAGCAGCGTGGCCTCATTTCCATAAAAGAGGACATTACTGAAGGAGTGGGCCTCATCTGTAGAGAGGAGAGCAGTGGTATATTATAAATGCACAGATCCAAAGATCTGTAAACAACAAAATAAACAGTTTTTTTTTTGTTTTTTTTACCACTGTAAAAGTAGCTTTTATCAGCCGGTTCCATAAACTCCATCCCTATGACTCGCTCCAACATCAACTTTTCCTTCACCATGTAGTCCATGTCAGGATGGCCCTAAGTCAACAATCCAGCATGAGAAAACAAAGATTTGCATCAAATAAACTTGCAGTATCTATAAAACAAACAACGGAATAAGATTAGATGTGATCCAAGGATACATTCTCACAGACTGTATCCTGTATCCTAATTTCTGGATGTTTTTTACGAACATGATCAATAATGGATCCCAGGAAGTGGTTCATGGTGTTGTACGCTCTGAACTGTAGATCTGACAGATTGGCTGTAGATGCATCCATCAACCGTGACGGCCTGTTCCTCTGCAGTGAAAGAGGAACAGCTCAAAGATTTTTAGTTTTTATTTTGTATCGAAGAATAAGGGTGATGGAGGTGATCACATACCTTGCTAAGAGAATCTTGTATCCTTTCATACTGTTGCCTCAGACGGTTGGTGATCGACACCTGAAAGGTCTGAATGTCAGAGTTGGGAACCAAACCCCGCTGACCACACAGCGACTCCTACAGGCACAAGAAGAGAAATACAGCAGCATCCATAAGTGTTGAACCCCCTTAAATTTTTTTTCTTGTATATTGTGATATGATAATCACACATTTCTGTTTAATTAGGGATTCGTTTGGAAGACCATCACAAAGTAGTAAATCTGTGTCTTCATGTTCACCAATTCTCTGTAAATGATAAGAGGCCTTCGCAGTAGAGCTGCATTTATTCATTAAGGCATGTAAACGTGGAAGAGATTGAATACAAATGTAAATCCACATTTTTCAGATTTGCATTTGTTAATAAAACAGCTGAAAACCAAATGTTTCCTTTTTCATCTACTTGACATTGACACATTACTTAATCTTGTAGTGCTTGAGCAACAAAACTTAAAAAGTTAGAGGGGTACTAATATTTTCATAAGTCTATTATTCTTTTGATTCTTTGATATCTTAAACAGTCTGAAGTGCATAATGCTGTCCGATAACAGTTTGAAGGAGTCCAAGAAGACCTGGCTTCTAGAAAGTAACTTCATTTGAAATGTGGGACTTCTACAAAGCAGGGCTGAAATGATTCCTCGAATGACTCAAGCACCTCGACTATTAACATTCCTCGAGAAACATTTACCTGCCTGTTAATTTATGTTTTATTATTTAGCGCACCATGTTCCAGTCAGAACATTATTTGCATCAGGCGTAGCTCCGATTCACCTCTGATTTGTCGACAAATGCAGACGTTGGCGGCATATAGTCCAATTTTCAAGTTCGGGCTAGGTGAGAGTTCATCTATTGAACTGATTTAATTACTCAGTTAATCGAAAGAGTAATCGATAGATTACTCGATTACTAAAATATTTGTTTACAACAGTCCTGCTGCAAAGCACTGCAAATGAAAACGAAAGATGAAAAGGTTCACTGTCGTCGTACATACACGTTCTCTCTTCAGGTTATTGCTCATTTCCTCCATGTTTGTGTCTGCGTGTCCATGCACTGAGCGTCCATGGATGTAGTAACCAAAACAACGATTGATGAACAGCAGCACAGAGACCTACGCGAAATAACAGAGGAAGGTATTTTATGTAAATTATTACTGATTGAGAGAAAAAAAAAAACTGGAGCTTCTACTTACATTACTGACAGAGCAGAGATCCACAAACTGACGAATTTTGTCCTCCACAAAGTGTTCGTAAAATACTTTGAAGAATATCACCTACAAGCACATGGAACTGTTATTGTAGCCAAAACAAATAAACTCCATAATTAATAATGAAATGGTGGCCATTAACCTGCAGAAGGGCAATGCAGAGCCACAGTGTGGCGGCAAGGCCGTAGCGTAGAATCAGACTGTAAGGAGGGGTGTATGCCTCTGGGGAGCGCTGTAACGTTGACCAAGGGTCTCTCAAAGCTAGGTTGGAGAAATTCAGCACCTTAACACAAGACGGCGTAATAGCGATAAGGAAAACAGACGTGTACTGTCAGAATCCTTCAAACAGAACACGCAGGGTGAGATGTACTTCGAGAAAGAAGAGCACAGCCATGGTCTGAAAAGTTGGGCTGATCTTGCGAATGGTCTGGAGTTTGTTCCACTCGTTTGCCACAAAGTAGGTCCTCCAGATGCTGACTGGGGAGGGTCACGTTTACTGTCCCCATGCGCTGAAACAACAGGAAAAAAGCTCAACAGAAGAAAAATACTGAATGACTAGCTTAAGGTAGTCTCTGTTGGTACCTGGCACTGTCCTGTTCCCTTTGCTTCGTGGTCTCTCCCAATCTATAAGAAATATATCGACTGACACCTGCATATACAGCTTGTGTAGAAACTGGACAGCCTGGATGCAAACGCACAAAACATGACACTTTTATATACTGTTATGTACACAATCTGATACATGTGTTTAAAAAACCTATCCCCTATGACACTGGATGGCTGAATGGAAATACAAATAACCTGGAAACTACTAAAAATTGTATTACAGATTACAGAGTGATCTGACCTTGAGAGCGAAGGCACAACCAATGTACGTCACAAACTGCTCCTCTTGAGAGGGGAGTGGAAGCAGCACAGATACAAATCGCTGAGCCTGTAGCGACAGAAGCAGTTTGTCTGATAAAAGCTGCAAAAACAACCAGAGTTGAATCTGTTTTACAAAAAAAAGGTGGTCATGAAAGCACACAGAGTAAAAAATAACTTGCCTTCAGTGTCTAAAGAATGCAGAAATGGAAAGCAAGAAGAATAAAAGATCATGCAAAGAGTGGAAGTCAAATTTGTGCAGATTATAGTCAAAAACAGGATGGTGAACTGATGGAGACGAACACAACAGCACAACTGGGATTAAAACTGCATGAGTAACAAAAAATAAACATTTCTTATGACCCACCTTGTAAAATATGAGCCAGTAAAGGCCAGTTCCCACCGTGACGATAAAGAAAACATTGGCCAGGTCACCGGAGTAAAACAACAGAAACTTCAGCATCGTCTGGAGAACACAGACCAGAAACGCATGAACGCCCGGCGGTCATTTTTTTTACAGCGCTTCAACAGACTGCGATGTACCTCCAGATCAATGATGGGCGAAGCAATCCTCCTCTTCCAGCTGACTGTCTTCAGGAGCGAGTAAAGAACTGCCAACCCGCCCAAGATGCCAAGAGCAGTCTGTGTGACCCAAGGGTGACAGTTTTTCAGTTGCATACAGATTTATTGCCATGGTTTCAGCCAAACTTATACTCACGTCAGTCTTTGTATGAGCCTCTGTCTGATCCATCTCATACTCCATAGCAAAAGTTATCTACAAACACACACATTAGAGCATTAGTTCCCAAACTTTCCAGGTTGTGACCCACAAAGTAAAAATGTAACAGGGTCATGACCCCAACTCTCGGCAGAGCATACAAGTATTTTTACAGTCAGTTGGTGCTGTGAGAACAGTCGGGATCAAAAGACGACATTTTGGCCAGCATGATTTTTTAAATGAATATTAAAGTCCTGCTTTTTATCGTTTGTAGAATTTCTACAATGTTTATTCTTTCTCATCATCATTGGTTTCAGGTTAATTTCTGAAAAGAACAACAAGACCCCAGACATACATATCTGTGACCCCACAAACTATAAACATTAGCCTTATGTAGACTGGATCAAAAAGCCCTTTAACTTGATCCTTACAATTAATGGATTAACTTCAAGCATTGTCCCTGAACTCTGTCTACATTAGGCTAAAGTTTCTAGTTTTTCAAAGACCTTTTCATTGTGGTAAATGGTGAAACATTGACAAATGTGTCTTACAGTGGCCTAAAAGTAAAGACACAAAACCTATTTTAAGACATGTCAAGTTTTTGATATGTATGTATATGTATCTGACTTCTGTACACCGCAAATATGGTGAGAGGACATATCAGCGTCTCATGTGGCAGAAAATTTTCATTATAGGTTGACTACATCACTTTTCTTAATCTGATGGTCATGTTTTTAGTTTAATGCTTATGAACTTTTCCCAAATAAACTTTGTGCTACACATCCAAACTTAGACGTTGTTTTGCAGGAGGCAGACTGTCTCTAGTGTTTGGGATTCCTTGTCCTTCAATAAAAAAAACCATGCTTACTCTGACAGAGCTTTCACTCTAACCTGTTAAGTGTCTGGCCTTGTAGACTCATATCAAGTGCACAGTATTAACAATCCTGACTGAGTGATTTTAACCTACCAGTGCTGGATAATTAAGTTTTTCCACAACTGTTTGATTTTTATTAAAAAACTGTCTCGGTAATTAATTAGAAAATTGACCAGTAGTTGAAGCCACTCCAACATTTAGCATTTGAAAGCGAGTGAAGCAGATTGAGGCTCATTGCGTTGCTCATTACTGTGACATCTGAGTGAAGCGTGGATCTGGGAAATGTGTGTGGCATTTAAATTTGTTGCGCTTGCCATCAAGCTTTGTACATGATCAAAAGAACTTTTGCAGCCCAGCTTAGCTGTAGGAACCAAGTATGCCACAGAATTTGGTGGCATAATGATGCAAGTACAGCTAAAATATAGAATATTGTGATAAATTACTGCAGCATTCCAGAGGAAATTAGCCTGAGGTGCAAAAACGGTGGAATGGAAACTGTGATGGAGACCAGGGCTCCATCCCTAATGATTATTGATATATTTATTTACAGAACAAATGCCTTTTTTTGTTTGATTTCTTTATTTCAGTTACACTGACATTTAATTAAACATGGAATGTGGAGAAATGTCAGTTTGTTTTAATTTGAGGTTAATTGTCAAGTCTTACCTTTCAGGTGTGTCTCCTCAGCATGGCGGAGCAGCAAAGGGAGACAAGCGCTCCAGGTGTTGTTAAAAAGCTCCTGGAGCTTACCATTTTCAATTAAGAGGGGCAACGCTCTAAAGAGTTATATTAAATTCAATTTAATCTTTGATTGACCTTAGATTAGTTTAGTTCTAATAATTTGCACGCATGTATATATTCATTGGCACCAGTTATTGTTTTGTGTTAGGTTTGTGTAAACTATTTCTTGTTTTGTTTTGTCACCCCTTTACCTGAGTGTTGGAATTGGCCAAAGATATAAAAGCCAGCTTCTGCGTCTCACTGTGAAAAAATGGGTGTCGGTTCAAGTTTGACCTGCAGTTTCAACTAAAATCCATCTCGACTACATTCTGAACCTCTTTCTCTGAATGCAGAGCCCCCGTCGGTCAAAGTGACAGAAACCCAGTGGTTTTGACAGAGGTCACCTAGACTTTTTTGTACGGTAAAAAGTAAGAACATGCAACATAGCAATGTACTCACAGGCACAGTTTGAGTATGGATGTCTGTGATGAGAACATCTGTGTAAGTCAAAGTCATCAGAGGGGGGAAAATGAGCCCCTCTTGATTTCGAGGAACGAGTTGAAACCTACCAGAGGTTTGAAACGCGTCAGTAGATTGCACATTTCGCCATTTTCATTTCTATTTTAACCGTGGCAACATTAAATATTACCTTATTTTGACACTGCTGGCAACACGAATGACTTTAGGTGAGGATGTTATGCTCTTCTCTCTTCCACTCAAAGTGTCCACAAGAAACATTCGGCGAGTTAGATACCAGTTTCTCATACTATCTGCATAAAAAAATAGAAACATATATTGAAATTACCCAAACATTAATTTAGAAGGAAGTTGCATGCTTTAATTAATAAAACCTCACCCTGATTGATGAATCCTCCATTGTACTGTTGGTTTTCGACCAGCGTTGGCAGGGGAAGAAGTTTCCTGTTCTCTCCTCCTCCCAGGTCCATGTAAATGTCATAGAACAACGGCTCGGGATGGGAATCCAGCAGATCCGCCACTGAAAGGTCACACTGAACGAACACCAAAACACACCCAGAAACTGCTTAGAACCTAACTTTTCACAGAATATAGGTTTGTTGTCATTCTGTAAAGTAAATTAAGTTGAAAGCACTCACACTTTCTTGGTAAGCGGTTCCAAAGCTGAAGGCTGCTGCCTGTTTGGGAGCTAATCCTGGACAAAGCTAGAAGAGAGATTTGTTGGAGGTTTGTGAAGTCTTCACAAAAAGGCTTGCAGAGGTAATTTCAGGTATAAAATGAACATACATTTATACAGGACATTTAAATTTGTATTTGAATAAATATTGTCGTTCATCTATATAACAATAATTTGTCCCGGCACTTTTACAAAAAAAAAGGTTCCATTGAAAAAACATCCTATGGTCTGGACACACACATCTGATCATTTTCTCGGCAGTGCTTAAGTCTGAATTACAAGAGATGATCTAAGCCACAAATCTTATTTGCTTGCGGCCTAAGTCTAAGTGATCACAGACAACTTAAAATCTTACCTGCAGGTTGCTTCCTCCGACCTGCTCCCACCGCAGGAACTCCCCCCCGACATTATAGACAGCAGCAAGCAGCTGAATGTTGGTGTTCTGACAAAAATAACAACATTTACATTTAAAGTTTCATTTAAATATCTGTAATGACCAAGACACACTATTAATGTGTTTTTTATTTGGTTATTGTTTAATGTCAACGTGTTTTACTTGATTTGTTCCTCTGAAGCTGAAGACGGTGGGAACAGGATCTGTTTGAAGCACGCGACTAGCCAGCCCGGGTTCATCTCCATAGAAAAGCCACGGGAGATTAACTCTCCTAGAGAAGAAAGAATCAAAGCTGCTGGTGTCTGCTCTACGCTCAGACTGGAAAAATCTGTTTGAAATTTATGAACATGCTAAAACTGAAAAATAAATAAATAAAATAAATAATCAAACAGGATTACCAATAAGCAATTTCTTGAACTGAGCTCAGAGCAGCTTTTGATCTGTAAACGTTGTTAAAAAGACCACAAGCATCAGAAGAGGAACCAGCGACGGAGTGCATGTTCAACACACACATGTTGCCAAGAGCCTCGCATGCTGTCAGGTTGGAGTAGTCCTGCAAGGAGAACATCACATGTGTATGCAGAGGAGCTGATCCTTCATCTCAACAATCATTCTTTGAATCTTTGTTAAAAAAATGTGTGTGTTTTCATTACGAGGCACGCCGCTGTGGAGGAGTAGAGATGTTCCACAAACCAGGCCGACTGAATGCTGAATTTCTAATACAGAATGTAAAAATGAATCAGAGTGGATAATAATATGCAAAATGTAACAACTGAGAAACCAAGAGCAGAGGATTCCTACCAACTGAGCATAGTTGACACTGGGATTCACATTAGTGGAAAGGACTCCTGGGCGGAAACACAATCCTCCTTCCTGGAAAAAAACAAAGCAAACTGGTGACATATTTTCTTCTGACAGCTGAACATGAGACGAGTTGTTTGAATATGTAAAGAGAGAGACAAGATTAAACTCACTTGAACATTAGGAGCCGCGCACACACAGGAGGTGTTAGTGAAGGTAGACATACATCTCTCACACCTAAAAGACAATTTGAAAATGTACAGATAATTAAGCCATGAGGTACGCAAATCCCATGATTAAATGAGTGAGTTAAAAGTACATTTTGAATTTTTGTCATGTTGCATCAGATTCCTTTTCCACCTCTTTACTTTGTGCTTTGTGTAACTATTTGAAGTCAAACATATTCAAAAGTCTTCAGAAGATATTTTAAGAAAAAACTGGAGATCTTTTGGAGACAGCATGTTGCCAGCAGGGGGACTTACCGAGCAGGGCAAAAGATGCAGTGAGATTCACTGCATTAAAGTGCTCCAGACTAGATAAATCACAATTCAAGTGCAGGTCATTTACCTGTCTCCATTGATGTTTGATACAGACAAAGCAGGGCTTTTGTTGTTGCACGCTTCACATCTGGCATTATTCAAGGGATTTCCATTGATATCCCTTTCCACTAGAAAAACAAACAAAAAAGCCATGAACTCCCATTCTTACAGAAAAACATTTCACATTCAACTCCCTTTTCATTCCTATTATTAATGCAAATCAAGCTAAAAAGTAAATAACTCACCCAGGATATAGCCTGATTGGCACTGACATTTTCCCTCATTACTCAGGCTGTTTGGACAGCGAATGCACCCAAAGCCATCTTGTGTTACTGCCTGTATGCAAACACAGAAAGTCACCAAAAAGTCAGACTTCTATTGAGAATAGATATTAACTCTGTATTGGACACAGCTGCAGGACTTTCATATTAATATAATAACAAGACATTGAAGAAAAATTGAACATACGGGCCTGTCTGTAGGACACTGCTCGCAAGAAATGGATATTTTATCATTGAAGACATTTAAGGTTCTGTAGCCAGTCTGGCAAATGCAACTCAGTCCTGCAAAACAAAGGAAAATCAGATGAGTAGCAGTGAGTAGAGCTGAATAATATGTTACGACTAAATAATAATGGCAATATCAGCGTGTGCAATATTCTCATTGCAAAGAACTGATTGGTGTGCAATAATTGTTGGCTAAGTCCAAATGTTTAGATGTTCACAGCGGACACAAATGACAGTTGTGAATGTATTCACCATCTCCACCCAAATGGCACGCACTCGTTTAATAGTGGCTTAAAAATAATAGGGAAATAGAAGAAATAGAACATATGCTGATTTATTCCAGAAAAAATATAAAAGAGAGGAAAGAACTGAAAAGGGTAATGGAAATTTCAGTAACTATAGCTAATATATTAGGGAAGCATCAATCATATGATATAATTCAAGCACTTATTAAATATTTAAAAGATACAAAATTAGCTGAGTGGATTTAGTATGTGTATGTGAGTGTATAAGTATACACTGTATTTTGTTATTTTAAGAATTGGAGATATACAGGAAAAATGAATGTCTGAATTACATCTCCGTCCAGTTGAGGGCGGTAATACACAAAGTTTGTAAACTGCCAGAAAACTATATAAAAGAAGATTCATAGTGAGAAGCATAGAGACATGCCTGGACATGTCTGGACATTTAGACACTGTATTGTAACTAGGGCAAAGGTGGGGGCTGAGCTGAGCAGGGAGAAAAGGGAGAACAGCACAACTTAAACATCGGTTAAAAATGTATGCATTGTTATATTTTGAAATGCATATTGCAGAGTTAGGGGGGAAAAAACATCTGTCCAGTTCAGCTCCAGCCATTGTGAAAAATAGCAAAAATGATGGGTCACTTGTCCTCTGCTTATTATCTCTTGCACCAAAGACCATCTACTGACAGTTCCTCTTTTTCCCATAAGCCTCCTTCACAGTTACCTCTTCTTAGCACTATTCTCATCTCCACCGTTTCAACACTTGATGTCTCAACAGCAGATTATCATTGCATTAGTGATCATACACTCGCACCATTTTTATATAATTTTCAGGATTATCCTCAAAATCACAACTAATTTAACAACAACTTCTCAATAATTAGCACCTCTGATTGTATAACTAAAGTATCATGTTTCACTTTAATTATAATCCATCATGATCACAGCTTTTATTTAATGCAGGCACACTTCTGAAAATGAAAACAAGTTTAATTTATTATTTGCAATCAAAAATTGCAAATAATAAATTGTATTATTTATGCTTCTTGCTCTTAGGCTTCAAGCCTATTTATTTACTCAGTGCTGTACTTCTATGCATGAAAGTGATGAATGATTTTGCTTGTTTTGGTAGAGTAACTTTTATTTCAGCATTTGTAGAAAAAAAAAAGAGCTTATCATTTGATCACATATAAAGTTGTAGAGTGCTGGATGCGTTCACATAATGCTAAAGGGTAGCATTATGTGAATGCTATTTTTCTTCTTGTGCATGTATGCTCCAAACAATAGGCTAGAGTTAAACACACACTGCAACCTAACTGGTGATATGTTAATACTGTCAGCAGGCCAGCCTCTGGACATGTGAATTTGTTGGGATGTGATGCAAATGTGTGTTTGTGTTGATTCAGGTGTGCAGCTAAATGGAACAGACCACATGGAGTTCCAAGACGACAAAGAGTTATCCAGTCAACAACTGCGTGAATACAAAAGAAATGGTTTGAAACCCCTTAAAACTTACAAAATTTTATCACATAAATCAAATTGTGTGTGTCAGTTCACATACGGTTAATAACTAGCGAATTATTAATATAAGTTTGGTGCTAAAAAATAAGTAAGTTCTAACAAAACAGCCCAGAAGGAGCAGGAAAGATTTACAGGAAGGGGAGTTTGTCTTGAAGACCTTTCCTTTCTGATGCACTTTATGTACTTTTAATCACTTTTTTCTCTGTTTTATTTTCTACTTGAGTAATTTCAAACTTATGCATTCATATTTCTTTTTTCATAGCTTTTTCAGATTATTTATTCAACTACATTCACTGTTATTTTTAGTCATTTCAATTTGAACATCATAATATCCCAACACCAAAACAGTGGAACTAGTTTGTTGCGCTGATTAATTTAACTTTTAACTCTTTGTGAATATTGTTTTTATTTTAACATAAGTCTTCCAATTTTTATCAAAATCTACAGCTCGGGTTTTTCATTTATTCTGGTTTTGCTATCTCGCAAAACTGCACTGTATATTTCCAACAGATTCAATTAGATGACTCATTCATTCACAGTTCATTTTCGGTGCAAATGAACTGTGCTCATGTTTGAAATATTTTGATAAAGATACAACCCCCACCCACCAAATAAAGACCTTCCTCTTATAAAACGCAAAGACACAAAAATAAAATGAATAATAACTAATTGCACAATTACATGAATCATCATCAAGAAGCTTGAAACCGAAAATCTTTCAACCTTTAGTAAATATGGATGGACAAAGAATATTAAAATTAAAAGCATATACAAAACTTATATATATCTATATTCCAACTACATAGCAATAAAAACATTTTCACACTGTCTAACACAGGCAGATATTGCTGCGTCTGCTGTTTAAAAGATTTACCCTTAATAGAATTCAAAACATTTATTCCATGTTTTATTTTTCCCCCTCAAAACATGAGGCAACAGGAAGCTAACAGCTTTTAGCTTCACATAATGGGCTCTCTGATTATTAGATGACACACGCTAACATACATTTCAAATTACTCTACATTCAAGTACAAGTAGTAAAATGTTTCTTATCATAGGTCGGTACCACAGCCCGAAATCAGATTAAGACGCGTGTTAAGATGCTAAACACCGACCTGTGGAGCTCTTGCGCTGATTTGAACCACATCTGGAGCACGACAAACTTGATATGTCGAAGAATTCGTCGACGCCGCAATCTGAAGGCGCTTTAAACGGAATGATAAACTGCTGGCAGTCAATTAGATTTATACATAGCAAAAGTGAAACATATTGGAGAACTCTGTGTCTGCTAATAAACAGTAGCGTCCCCGTCGCCATGGTAAACAACGGTCCTCCTTTTTTTTTTTTACCCACAATCCTTCACTCAGCTGGTGATGGGATTTTAGGGGTCTTTCTAGAGATCCGAATCATTTGGCTTAGCACACCGAACAGGGAGCTTCGGAGATCTCTGTCGGTTCCCAAACGTCTCCTCAACAACTTCGACGGACTTCTAGTTTTTAAATAATGAGTAAGGGTGATTTATTATTTTTTAAAGAGAGCAGGAGTTTATAGTTATACTGAGGTGTCTGCTGTTGAAGAGGACAAAACAGAAGCGTTGCACGAGAAAGTCTTCTAACAGAAAAGACCAAGGCGTTTCTTCAGTGGTTCATCTGAAGTTAACGGTGACGTCAGATTTTTTTTTTTTTTTTTTTTACCGTTTTGTTTCATTCCGACATATCGACTTCCATATGATCGGTGGTTGAATTACTGCAACCCGGGGGTCATTTTTCTATGGGCTCTCGCACAAAGGTAAGCAGAAATCTGGCGCTAATTCAAGAAAAATGTCTGCTGTTGAACATTCCGGAATGAGTGACGGTTTCCAAAACCCTTTGGTAAGATTATAAGTGGAAGATTTGCATTGACGCGAAAGTTTTAGACTACTCAGTTCAAGGCCAAATAAAGAAGTTGTGAACGACGTATTTCTCTTGTTGTGCTCTCAGCTCAAACACATAACATAATGTTGCCATCTTGTTGATAATTCTTTCAGATTAAATCCGGCTTGTTTGGTTCTCAAGCAATGATTGGGTCATTTAGGAAACACATTTAGAATAAACTATCTATTGGAAGCTTATCAAAACAAACTCAGCTGAAATACTATTTGAATAAGTCTAAAATGCAAGGAAGTCAAAAGGACTATTTTAATGGAAAATCTTCAGTCTTTTTATAGGCCATGAGTCATGGGGACTTTCTACAGGAAATGCAGTTGTGTAGTTCTTTTACGCAATTCCTTTGCTTTTGCAAAGAGTGATTAATGCAAGAGCACAAAGACAGAATAACATGAATTATTAAGCTTAAGTAAGAATTGTGAATTTGAGAATTCATAAGAACGATTCGTAAGAAAAATCTTAAAGCTTAATTTGATATGTTACAAAATCAAGACAACTAAGTAGATTTCTGAATAGTTTGGGGAAAATAAGTATTTATTTTCAGCCATTTACTTACAAAGAATGGAGAGGTTTGTGAAAAATTATGGTAAGTACACCTCAGCTGTAAGAGACAGGACGTCACGTTGTGTAATTTTCAACTAATTAATTTCAATTGTATTGCATGAAATCAGTATTTGATCACCTGCCCTGCTGTCCTCCACTCATTACCTCTATTAATTGCACCTGTTTGAACTCCTTATTTGTATAAAAGACAACTGGCCCTGACACCAGGGACAAAACTGGAGATCCGAGTTAGGTGCAATTAATAGAGGTAATGATGCTCCTTGCAAGTTCTTGCCTCTTGGAGTATCAAGGATTGTTGAAAAAGGTGAGGAATCAACCCAGAACTGTAAATGTAATAAGTTTCTGTACAAAACATTGTTCTATGTTTCTATTGTGTCAAATACATATTCTATTTAAAAAAAGCTAATCATTTAGAAATCATACAATGTGATTTTTTTAAGACTCTTGACTCACAGTTAAGTTGTACCTACAATAAAAAATTTGAGCTCTTTTTTAATAAGAACATTTTAAAAATCCAGAGTATATCAATATCAATGTTCTGTAGATAACCCATACCTCAGACAGTACTTGCAGGTTATTGGGTTTAGTGTTGTAAAATACAAGTACTTAAAAATGTTTTTGAATATTATTCAAATAAAATATTTTTGGCAATATTTCAGATAGAGAAAATCAGATTAACAAGAGTTAAAGCCTTTATTTTTCTGTAATTCTGATGATTATGGCTCTCTGGATGAAAACCACAAAATTCAGTGTCAGAAAATTAGAATGTCAAAAATGTATTGCATAGAAAGTTCTATGGAAGGAAGACATGTGGTAGGAAAAATATGCAACAGCAACAAATATAGCAGGGGTGAGCTTAGCCTATTTGGTGCTCTGGCACCTTTTAATGCAGAATCTCCTCAAGGTCCCAGCATCTGGGTGAAGAGTGCAGAAGCACAGCATCCATGTTGGTTTAAGTCTAGAGTGAAGTTGTTCCAGAGTTAATGCAGTCCTCTACCAGGACATCTTACAGCACTTCATGCATTCTTCTGCTGCAAAGAATGAGATCAGGAACTACACTAGGCAAGGGATGAATAAAATGATGAATTGAAAGTTGATAATAAAGTCAGACTCAGATGATTTTTATGTTGATAAGGTTATGTTGAAGAATCAAATTAGAAGGTAATTGTGTTTTATGATGATCATACAGCATAAATAGAATTGTAACTGGAGTAATGTGAAACCTTGCATTGAGAGGTGAGATCTTCCCAGGTTAATACAGAAAACATCGTAAAGGCCTGAGAGACTGAAGTAATCTTGCATTTTGATTATTGATGATTATGAGACAAATTGTTTTGTGTTCTGATTTACTGACGTGATTTACTGATAATAAAATATGTGATTTTGTGTTTTGATTCTAAAGAGTTTAATGTAATAAAAAGATCAGAAAATGAATAATATGATGAATAAAGTGGTAAATTAAAGGTTGATAACAAAATTAAACTCAAATGATTATTAAAAGAAATTATGGAGAAGAGTTTAGATTTAAAGGTAATTGTGTCTAATGATTTATGATAATCATAACATACAACATTATAACTAAAGTAATCATACAGTGTGTGAAGCACAGGGACATGTCTGGGCATGTAAAGACATGTAATTCTTGGACTGTGTAGTGACTAGAGCAAAGGTTGGGGCAAGGCTCCAAAAAAGGAAGTGAATCCCGATGGCCAGTAGAAAAAAAAGTGAGAGGGGCTTTGACCAAATGTGGGGAGGTTTAGAACTTTCCATGAAGTAATCGGATGCTTGCTCTCCATACACAACCATGTGGTGAGAGAGTATATACACCCATGAAAAAGAGAAAGAAGGGTTATTAGTCTCTGGTGCAGAAGTCAAGCTAACAAGAAGATGCAGATGGGAGATCAGAAAAGGACCGCACCCTCGAACCAAAGGAATAAAGACTTTGCACTAGTACAAGGGGATAAGACCCTTTGACCCTCAGTCTTGGTTCCTGATTCAAGTGCTGTCCTGCGCTCAATTCAAGGATCTGACTGCAACAGACTTGGGGAATAGACAAGGATCACTAAGTGATGAAGATCTGAGTGTTCGGAAGACAACAACCAGTTCTGCTTTGCTTCTATTCGAAAAGAGGATTTCTGTTGCAGAGATCATTCGTCATCTGGGTATGAGTTGAACTGCACCCCAAATCCTGGCTCTGTAAATTAGTGACACAGTTTAGGGAAAGAGGTTAGGAAAGAATGAAGGTGATTTTACTTAATTTGATTTTTATTCTCAAATTGTAATAATTGATGATTAACCTGTGTGTTATATAAAGACTTAATAAAGATGCATTAAAATTCTAATTAGATTTGTGGACAGTAAAATTAATTGAGTCATCTATTATTTTCGGTTCTTCAAATCAGTGTAAAACCCATGATCATTATTCCTGAATTGTTGTGGCTTTGGATGGGCTTTTAGTGCTGGTAAAATAATGACCTCGGGGCTTATGTTGAGCTTCTAAAATTTATCTAGCCAGTAACAAGCGCTACCGTTAACAAGTGTGGTTATTGAAGTTATGCAGTTGTGAGGGCTACTCAACTAATTGCTTCTTAAATAAAAAGGCACATAACTTTTGGAAATAGGCAGTTAAATGCTAGATGAGTCTCTCTTGACGCCAGTTTAAACAGATTATCTCTCCTAGACCTGTCAATCATGTGTGCATGAATGCATTGATAATACCCGTTTTATGAATCCTTCTTAACATTAAATAGTATTGAACATATTTTCACATTTTTGTAATTTGGCAGAATACAGATTTGATTTGATTGATAAAATAATATTTAAGCACACAATTGTTTATTAAAGTTATTTTTATGTGGTCCTTAGAGTCAGAGGGGCACAAAAGCTGTGGTGGACTTTATTTGGCCCCCAGGCCTCGAGTTTGACATCTGTGCGAGTCTGACACCAGGCCCTTAAAAGAAATCAATTGCAAATTAGCATATGGTGGATTTCTGCATAATTAATGGAGGTTTAATCAACTGTTTCGAGCTTGAAAATGTGTATACTTTTCAGTAGTCAGGCATTTCTGTTTACAATATTACTGTGATCTTGTATAACATTATTTCTGAAACATTAAATTGTGGGTTCTTTTAAAGCCATAATCATCATACTTACAAGACATAAGGGTTTGAAATGGTTCACCTCGTGCGTGACGAATCTACATTACGTCTTTAAACTTTTTCATGATATTGTAATTTGTATATAGTGTAGTTCACACTCCATCCGCTGGGAGGCAGTGATGAGTTACCCGGCACCTCAGAGTAAATAAAAAGGCAGGAAACCCGCGGGCTGATGATCAGTCCGAGGCAGAGATGAGGGAAGAAGCTGGCACGGCTCACAAAGTTGTTATGGATAAGTTGAAGCTGGATTTCATCTCTTAAACCCTTTAAAATCCTAGGACACGTAGACAAGCTATGTAAGTATTAATAGACACGTCACGATTGTATAACTATATCTTCTCTCTCTCTCTCCTAGATATTCCCGCCCTTAACTTTTGTGTTTCCTGTGGCGTCTATCCTCATGTTAAGGCCTCAAAAATAACACGTGTGTTCTCAACTTTTCCACCAGAGCCTTCTAAATTTACAGACAACACCCAGCCCCGCAGGAACGGAGGACGGAGAGAATGAGCAAGATCCTCAGACTGGAAGGCCTGGACGTGAAGGCAGGCACTGAAGATATACGGACCTTCTTTCAGTCCCTGCACATACCTGATGGAGGGGTGTACATTATGGGAGGACATCTCGGCGAGGCTTTTATTTCGTTTACCACCGAAAGTGAGGCACAGGCTGCTCTGCTGCGTAGTGGGAATTTTCTCAAAGGCTCCATGGTGACCCTGCACATCAGCAGTATGGAAGAAATAGAGCAGAAATTCGAGGAGTCCTTAAATGGCAAGAAAACTTCGCTCACTGTAAGAAAACCACATCCACGTTCAGCTGAAAATGAAATGTCAAGGCAACATAAGGATAAAAATGGTAATGTGGAGTCCAAATCCAGCTCACATGAGGTTTATATGGCTAAGGTGAAGCCCAAATCCAGACCTCATGGCGTTAATATATTGAGGCCCAAATCCAGATTACATGAGGACAACATCACTACAATGAAGCCAAAATCCAGACCACATGATGTCAACATGACTACGAAGCCCAAATCTAGGCTGCGTGATGTTAATATGATCAAGGTGACGCCCAAATCCAGGCCGCATGGTGATAGTACTTCAATTTCATCTTCAGCTGCATTTCCAGTAGATCCTGATCCTGCTGATCTGCCAGCTTCTAATGCACAACATTTTCAGCTGAGTACAACAAACACGCCAGCTTCAAATGCACAACTATTGGATACTGATGCTTTTTTTCTTGGAGTTTGTAGTGTCCTTCAAAGACTCCAATCTGCTCAAACCAATGTGCCAAAATTTGAGTTTCCCCATGTTGACAGCGCAACTTCCTCTGAAGCGGTCAGAAATCCAGAACATACACTGGACTTGAAGCCAGGCTATGTTCGGCTATTTGGGCTGCCAGCTTCAGTTACTAAAGAAGACATTTGCAAGTTCTTCAAAGGATTGCGTATAGAAGATGTTATAGTTGACGTCGAATTGGGAATCAGTCGTGGCTGCCTCGTGAAGTTTGCAGATATACAAGATGCAACTAATGCGCTTGGCTTCAACCAACAGTTGCTGGGCTCCATTCCTGTGGAAGTACGTGGAGCAGATGAAAAACTGTGGGTCAGGGCTCTTCAGGAATGTAGTAAGGCTTTTGATGACAGGTCAAAGTGTAAACATGAAAGATCTCCAACAGAAAAGGCACACTCTGAAAGAAGATCTGTTACTTCCTTTAAGAGGACATCTGATCAAGTTCCGTCTAAACCATTAAAAAAAACAAAGCCTGATGTGGAACCCAATGCTTCATTATCAAGGCCCTCAGAGTACACAGTCATGGTCAGAAACCTGCCAAAAAACATGACCAAGACTGACATAAAAGAGCTGTTCAGATGCCCAAACCTGCCGCACAAAAATGTGCTTCATCTGCTCGACGATTCAAGCAATATCACTGACACAGCTTTTCTGAGTTTCAACTGTACCGAGGACTTTGACTACGCCATTAATCTCTCTGGCTGCCATGGTGGCTCTGGTGCCATTGAGGTTACATCAATCACCAAGGAGCTCATGTGGAAAATGATAAACAAAAACCACCCCAGAAACCAAAGGACTGGTCCGACTGATCCAAGATTACAACGCAGCTTCAAGAAGTCAGAGCCAGTGCGACCTAACGCGCCGCAGAGAGAAAGTCTAAACGAGACGGGTCAGCGGTACATTTTTATTAGGAACATGCCTGCAACTGTCAAGAAAAGTCAAATCAGGGGCCTGTTCTGTAAATTCAGTCTGAGTTTGGATGACATAATGTTACTACATGATAGTGAGGGCTATGGCTCGGGTGAGGCTGTGGTTAAGTTTGAGTCTGAACAGCAGGTCACACAGGCTCAGAAGTTGCACGGTGAAGAGTTCCTGGGGTCAAACGTGCTTCTCACCCCCATAAATGAGAAGCAAATGAAGAACATTTTGATGAACACCTGAGGAATGTTTTGCCTCATCATCAACTTCAGCTGCACTTGACTGCGAAGGTTTCTAGTTTGCATTAAGGATTTTTTTATTTCAAGATCTGCCATTGTTATCGTTCTCTTCATATATACTACACAATAAATATTCGAATAATTAATGGACGACGTTCCCAAGTGTTGGCTACTACTGCAATGAAAGGAAGATGCCTTGGATTTGTGTACAAACATGTTGGCGATCTCTGTTTACCTTTATTCTGCATAGCTCAATAAATGTTTTTATATGGCTTTTGAGAAAAGACCGGTTTGTTTAGGTTCAATGATTTTTCAGTATTCGAATGGATAAGTTTCAACACAATGTGGACCTGCTTCAGAGGGAAGTTAAGTAAGTCCAAAACAATGGTGAACAACAGCTACATGGAAAAAAGGAAGAGGATCAAGTAACCCACAGCAGTGTGGACAGACGTGGACTGCTATTGTTGTGTACAACATAATGCAGAAGCATTTGACTGACAGAGCAGGTAATTGGAGAGGAAATGTCACTTGATAAGAGACTAAAGTGTGGGATTAAATGCTACCTGTGAAATTATTTATTGCAGTTACATCAAGTTCTTCATTACTGAAAAAAAAAGACGATGATATAAATAATCTGAAACATTCTGTTATGCAAAACTTTCCTTGTTCTGAGGAAGAGAGAATTAAAACGGAGGAAAACAAAAAGCTACCCAAAATGAATATACATGGGGAAAAAACTGGGCTTGTGCGTCGGTGAGAGACGGAGAAGAGGAGTGAGGCGCCATCTTCTGACAATCAGTTGAAGTATTTCTGCGGAGGGTCAGGATACCTGGATGAACCTACAAAATATAATCCAGAGATTGAGGTGAATGTAAATGAAAGATGCAACGTTCTATGACTCTTCGTTTATAATCAAGTCTGACTAGCAAGTTGTTCTGTACCGGACTGATTACTTGAATATCGGTCGTTTTGCAACCTTGGAGGAGTATTAGAAAAGTTCAAGGACGGGTTGCAAAAAGTTGATGCCTGTGGAGGTAAAAGCAATAAAAGAATGTAGCTAAATTAAAATTCAGCTTAAAGGTTCATCAAAGCATAAAATTAATGGTCTCCATACCGCAGGAATGGTCCTCAACCTGTACTCCATCAGTGCATCTGTTAGCCTTTGTGTCACTTTCAAAACAAGCTGTGCATCGTTCTCATTCTCTATTTGGAAAGATTCCTGAAGACAAAATAATAAGTTACAAAGCGCGTCCATCTAGTTTGATTTAAGGAGCACAATTGAAGATTCTCACCAAGTGTTTCAGCACCGCAGGCATGTTGCTGCTCTGTGGAGCGGCTCCCAATAATCCGGGTCGGTCCACTGGCTTGCTTATAGGTCTGTCCACTGAGTTTTCCTGGTACTCGTTGGTATATGCTGTGTTTGAGCTTTCAACCATCGGTTCACCTCTTCCATATCCATCTTGCCCAGGACCGATACTGTTTGCGTACGGAGCTGGAGCCATGCTGCTGTCAGGGAAAGCTGGTCCTGACATATAGCCTCCATATGCGGGTTCCTCGTATTCCTCACTTGGAAAACCAGGGTGAGGTCCTCCATGAGGGGCAAACTCTCCTGGAAACCTCGCGTCATGGAACCTAGGGCCTGTTAATTATATGATGCAGTTCAATTACACATTAATATGACCGCAGAGCATCAGTTCAGCAGAGTTGTGGAAATCTGAAACATCTTCCAAGAAAGAAGACCTTACAGTTGCATTAAAAGAATCACAAAAAGTGACATTTTAGTAAGTCAAAAAACAAAGTGAAAGGCATATTCACTCATTCATCATTTGCCCAAAGTTTTTTTTTTTTTTTTTTTAAAGCAGACCGTCAATGAAATGTTTCAAGATTAATGCTAAAGAACCTGGGTATTCAGAGTGCTGTCTACAAGAATATACACGGAAAGTTCAGTGGAAGGAAACCATAAACGGGCAACAGGATAACTTCAGCCTTGTGAGGATTGTGACATGAAGCCAATTTCAAAGTTTGTGGAAGATCAACTAGGAGAGGACTCTGCCTGGAGTCAGTTTTTCTAGAACCACCGCAACGGCCATACTGCTTGTGTTAAGCTACTTCTCATCAAAAGCATTTTCCCCTAGCTAAGGTGAAAAGGGGCTGAGCTGTTCTCAATTATCCTTTTTTTCCCCTAATTATCCTACACAAAAAAAAAGCTGTCTGGTGTTCAGTCTGAAGTAAAACGCAGACCGTGAGCCTTCTCTGATGCCGTTGCTCCAATGTGATTTTCCCCTGCTGACACGCTTTATGGAGATGCCAAGTTAATTTTTTACCATGACTTGGCACAATCCCACAATGCTGACTGTATCAACATGTGCATGGGTTACCATGTTAACCTGAGCTGGACTGGCCAGAAACCCCAGACTGACCTAAACTCTACGGTTTCATTAAATAAGTTCAGGTCCTGTGAAGAGAGCATCAAGATGGAAGTCCAAACATGTTTGTTTTTCTCCAATATTACCCATAAAATGAATCTATATTGTAAATGTTCTACATCATGTAAATAGTTTAAAGAATCAAAATGATTAAAACATGGCTGATTTGATCTTCTATTAAATTTTGTATTAATTAAACTGAATAAGTGCTGTGTTTTAATATATAATCTGTCAGAAGAGGGTGAGAGCATCAGCTCAGCATAATTGTGGAAAGGATATCAACAGATGGGACTGAACGTCTAATCTTGATCAAGAGGTTGATTAAAATACTTAAGTGTTACACTTCTTATTAATCTTAATTTTCTGTAGGAAATCATAATTGTGTTAGAATCTATAATAAGTTTTAAATAATTTTCTGTTTATGTAATCAAATATGACTTGAAAGGTGACTTGAAAAACATTTTAATCGCCCATCGTGTGATAATCAGTGTATTTTAAGACAATAAGGTAATTTTTGTATTTTGAAAAGTTATGTGTAGAAGTAATACAAAAGCCAATAGAAAGGAGAATAAAGCCATAAGTGGAGCACAGAAAGGTCAAAACTAAAAAAGCAAGGTCGTCAAAGTAAACGGATGGAAAAGTGGAAGGTGTGGGTTGCCGTCAAGAGGACGATGAGAGACACCAGGGCCAACAATGGAGACGAGCTGAAGGCCAAAATGAAAGGAACCTAAGAACCAATCACCCTCATGCCACGCAGAACTGATGCTGTCATTCATACAGTAGGAGTATTGAGAGCAAATACAGTTCGGTATTATGAATAAAATTGCTTATTATCATTATTATTAGTAAAAGGAGACACTTTGCTGTAAGCCAGTGGTTCTATATTAAAAGTTGAAAGAAAAACCAAAAACCACTTGGTGTGAATCTTTTAAAGCTGAGTTGTGTGGGTTGTATTATCTGTAAGCCATAATCACCAAAATAAATATAATTTATATCAATGTGTAAATAATTTGAGTTGCACTAAATTCAATTAGTTAAAATAATGTGATTTTCTAGTAGATGAAAAGAGAGCTCACCAAATGGAGGACCCATTGGTCTCATCTCATTATTTCGTGGATTAATCGGTCTGGGAACAGCAGAACCTGTGGAAAATGATGAGAAAAAAAAAACACAAATCAGGACCATGAAGAAAAATACATTGTAGTCACAGAAGTAAATTTGCATCCAAAAGCTAAAATTCTGTTAATTTTTGAGATGTACAAAAAAAGTTGATGTCCAAAAATTATAAATTTGACAGGAAAAAAAAAAGTGGTTTTGTGATTGTCTAAATTTATGACTTTGTCATATTAGAGGAAACACATTTTGAGTTTTTTGGTAGTACTGTATCCCTCAGTGACCAAGAATGTGGCCACTGAGGCATAAACTACCAAACTCTGAACTTTAATACTGTTGGGTCTGAAATCCCCCTTGGTGAGTATGTAGCAAAATCACTCACGGAGTCCTTTAAATGCAAGCACTAGATAGGGCTCCTTCAGAATCACCTAAACATCACAACAAAAACAGAAAAATGTTAATAAATTTAAGTTCCCCAAAAAAAACAAAAAACAACAACATTTATTTATCCAGAATTTAAACAAAACTGAAACCTCTCCCCTAAATGTCAGAAAATGACTCATTATTGAATTAAAAATTAAACAATTCTGAACAAGACAGATAAAAATGGGTCCTTTTGAACTTGTAATTGTAATAGGTTTATTACATACCCTGATTTGCCCCCTCCCCTCCGCTTTTTCCACCTCTGCAGCAGCAACTTTAACTGCCTTTCTGATTGCAGGGTCCTTGACACCATCTTCCTCTTCCCAGATAACCTTATGAGGGTGAGTCTTTTTCTGTTGCAAGCCAAAAAAAAAAAAAGAACAAAAATTTACTTCACTGTTGATTTTGAACAAAGAGGCCCTGTGAGGCCAGACTTTCTCACCATGTATCTGAAGCTGTGTTTCCAGCCTTTGACGTGATCAACCATGTCATGCTGCACACGGGACAGGGAACACAGCTTGCACTGGTAATGCGGTTGGACCATTTTACTGGGGCTGCGGTATTCCCAGACATACTGGAGACCTGCAGACATCAAGTCATTACTGAGGCTTCACTTATTTGTAATTTGAAATGAAAAATCTTCAAAAATAAAGATGTAAAAGTATTAACACCTTCCAAATTTTTTTTCCACACTTGCAAGCACACTTGCATTGAATTTTATTATGACACAAAACAATCAATAACCTTGAAGCAGAGGGAAAATAAGAGGGTTTACAAACAATCTGAAAGGTGTGGCATGGATTTGAATCCTTCCCGTACTCCAATACTCCTCTTAATAAACTCAAATAAAACCAAATGCCAAATGTTACCGAATTGGTTAATAGATTCTCCCTATGTAAAAATTTATCTCAGAATAAATAAAAAAGCTCACTGTCCTGCAGGTTTGGATATTTTTCTGCTCCCACATATCCAACTTAAACTAATTAAGTCATCATTTGCATCACCTTCAAAACATTAGATCTAAAACATTAAAGACGGTGCGGTCTGAGAACCAGCACCCAGAGCCACTCCTTTAGTCACGTTGTAATTTTTGGACTACATGCAAAATGCTGCAGGAAGAAAAGTAACTCTGCTCATGACCATAAACATATCACCACTTCTTGCATAATGCTGCCACCTAGTGGAGGTATTGATGTGGTAAATATTGAACAATGCTACTATTGAGATATTCCATTTATCTTGGAATTTTGAGCTTGAATATGGATGTACAAAATATATTATGCATTTTTATAAAAATGTATAAAATTTTAATAAAACAGATATAACCTATGATTGCAACCGGTTACATAAAAACTGCTGGAGGGAAATGTTTCACCTGCTTACCGATGATGCTTTCTGTGACGTCCTTTAACACTTTGCTCAGAGAGGGGACAGAAAGGAAAGCATGGCCTTTGGAGAACACTGGAGAAAATACAGCAGTGATGAGCACAACAACTTCACTAGAAACAAAATCACTTTAGATTTCTTGGCAAACGCAAAGCTGCAACCAAAAATCCAGCAAAGGTTACACTGATCGAGTCTGCTGTGTTGTTGCAGAAATTGCAACAACTGATCACCAGCGAGCTCATTTCCTGATTAACTGAACACCATCAGACATCTCATTGAAATCTGGGAGGAATAGGAGAAGCTCTTAACCAATCCCCACATATTTCCCCACAGATATGCAGGACACTGCAGGTGCAGTGCCTGTCGCTGCGCTCAGCACCACAAGATTCACCGCTGTGCCACAGAAACGAAGCACCTGGTGAAGTAAGAAGTGTAAACACTGTGCTTGGCAATGTTTAAAAATTAAACATTCAGCAAATGTGATGCTGCAGCATCACAGGAGAATGTGGTGCAATGTCTGTAAGTGTTCAGAACCTTTTTACAATCTAAACTGGTCACCTGTTGTAACCAAACACTGGGTTAAAACTGTGTGAGGGCACCGAAAGAGTCCCATGGTCACAGACGGGGGCTGGGGGGATGTCACTGCCTGGTGAACAAGTCACCCACCATTCATGACATGAACCACAGAGACCCAAGATCTCCAGCTTCAATTCTCAGCACAGGAAGTGGCACCGTGTGTAAAAACACTTACCTATGTCAGCAGAATGCAGAGGCTGCTTTTTCTGTCAGCGTGGAGGGAATAAACCCACGAGGAGGAGAGAGACACACACAGGGATTAGTGACAGGGTGACACTCAGCAGAGGACAGGACACCTCGTCCACGTCCGCCGCACCATTCAGAGCCGCTCTTTTACGCCATTCTCCGTGAGCCCCGCGTCACGCAGAGACAGCCACGGGAATGAGTTTATCTGGGCTCTGAAAAGTGTCATCGAGTGATGAAGGCTCATCAGATGAGAGCAGCAACAATAAGTTACTGGTTTCATAGGGGACACGGGGATAGCCACGGTTCAAAATATGCAAACGTCTGCTGCAGCCAGGTAACAGAGCACAGAGATGAAGACCTGCTCGCTCCTCTGACCAGACCGACGTATTCATGAACAGTGGATCAACGTTTGGAAACAAAAAAAGATGCAAATATAAGCTCAGTTCCTCACATAGAGGAACTGATATGAACGGTAACACGATAGCTATTATTATTACTGCACACTACAATTAAAATAACTGGGAAAAAAAAGTCAACATTCCGTCGAATGTGTCTCACTATTTTACACAAATAGTAAAGTCTTTAAAGTAAAGTCGAACATTTTTAAAAGCCTTGTTTTGATCTCAAAAAGCAGTCAAATAATGACTCATGCCATTAAATCATGAGCTGTATATTTCATTCTGACTCAACTTACGATGCAAATTAAAGTAGGACTGAACACAAACTGGGCAGCTGACAAGAGTTTATCTCTTCAGAGTAAAGCTCTGCATTTGTGGGATCATCAGCTGGACTTTTAAAGCTCCTGATAACAAACAGAGCCAGCCCAGTGATGACCCCTGCACAGTGATGCATCGAGAGCTCAACGCCTGTGTGTGCACTGCATGATGCTGCTGCAGCAGCACACCCTCTGCCTGTATGGTGCCAGAGAATCACCACTGTTACCCAGGAAGGACTGAAGGCTGAGCCAACAAACTTATGAGGTTAGTGAAGCTCTCTTATTTTAAAGTTCGAGTCCCGAGTCCATCCCACTGTAAAGCGGGAAGCAGGGTGAGGTGGTGATTTCCTTGAATATGGAGATGGGTCCTGTTTCAAAAGGAGTTCATTGTTCTTTATATTTTTTTTTCAGGGTTTTTATTATTATTATTATTGTCTTGATCTCTAATCTTAATCTACTGTAGAAGAGGCTTGTTTCCCACCAGTAGTTGCAGTGGTGATTGACAAAAGAAGATAACCAATTTAATTATACTGAAAAGCTTTGGATGATTTACTAAACTTGTACACTTTGTTTTTTAAATTAGAGTTGAAAATAACAATAGAAAGGAAGTTATTTGACATCTAGTTACTGCCATGCACCTTTTTCTTTTTCTTTGGATACGGTGGCCCATGATTTGGAGCGGGTTGTTCTTCTGTAGGTATAGCCAGAGTCTCCACCTCCAAAGTCTCCATAGTTTCACCACTGCAACATAAAAAAGAAACGTGATTTTCTGCAAATATTGGAGGAATTAACTGCATGAACTTGGTCCACGAGCCGCCAGCGTGTATTGTTTTGGTAAACTAACCGATTCAACGAAGGTAACCAAATAACTTTCCACATGTAAAGAAGGACTATATGTCAGAAAAAATAAATACAACCATGGTTGTATTTATTGAATTGCATGTTATGCATGTTTATTTTAGCGTATTTTCGCAAGAGAGAAGGCCCAGTTTACCATTAAGCTAAGGAACCTTAGCTAAACGGTAAGGCTATTTATTATTGCCTTTCTTGGTTATAACCAATAATCAAAAAGGCAATTTAATTATTTAATACAACTCTTATGATAAAAGCTAAAAACAACATTACACAAACATTCATACCTTAGATTTAATTGCAAGATACGAGTTCCTCCCCTTGCAGACCGCCTGGACTGTTTGGTTTCGGAATAAAATGGGCACTCCGAGAAGGAGATAGATAGGCTGACAATTATTTATCCATGTAAAAAGAAAAAAAAAAGAAAGAAAGAAAAATATTTAACTACTTTGACTTCATAAATAGATTTTTAATAAATGCTTACATATATGTATCTGCTGGATATGATTAATGTTTACATTTTAATCTTTTGTAGTTGAATAATAAAAACAACAGTGTTATTATTTACAAGGCACTTGTGCGGACAGCTATGTGGTGCATTTATTTTTAATACCGGGGCGTACCGTACGGAGACCCAGACGTGAACTGTTATCATTATTTGCATTGAAAACGCGCCTGATTTCATCGTTATAAAAGCTTTTAAAACTTATTTAATTTCCAAATTAAAAATCTCACTCATTATCGAATTAGCAAGGTGTTATTTTAGCTTTAGCTCCGTTAGCTGCGCACCCCTTCAGGCCAACACATCGAACGGACAGTGTTAATAAACATGAACGCTTTGAATCAGAGGACCCAGTGAACAGCCAAGACGAAACTGAATACGTCTTTTTATATAAAATTATAGCCGTAAACTTGGCGGATATGTGTTTAGCATAACTGGATGTTTGATGACGTGAGAAGATCTGACGGTTGAAGCCAAGCGTTTCTTTCTTTTTTTTTACTGTGGTAAGTTAAAATCAGCTAACACCCATGCTTGTTCCTGTAGGAAGAACGTGAAAGGTGAGTTAGCCACATGATAGCAGAGCAGCCGCTCCGACCTTTCATTGTTAGTATTTACCATTCAGATTTGGGCTATTTTTACAGCCCTGCAAGCGTTGAAGTTATCTTCTATCTCACATATGAATTCCGTTTAACGTTGTGTTACAGAAATTCTAAGTGTCCACAAAGATGAAGGCCAAAAAGAAGAAGAGGCAGGACGATTTCCAAAAAGTTAAGCTTAAAGTGGGGAAGAAGAAGCCCAGGGCTGATAATGCCACCAACACTAACTTCCGTACAAGAGGAATCTGTCTGCCTGACCAGTTAAAGAGAGACACAAGCGGCCCCACAACTCACAGACAGCTGGGCATTAATGTAAGTTCTGCAGAATTCCAAAACAGACCTTATATTTACATTGGATTTCAACAGTATTCACACCTTTTGAACTCTGTCACATGTTTTATCATTGCAAACAAACCTCAGTTGGGATTAATGCTTTAGAGAATCAGAATTTAAAATTATAATAAACTTTTCAAAGTATTAATGGATTTAGCTATAATTCATACATATATATTTTTTATATCCAGGAGCTCCTGTCTCAGCTGCATCATTACAATGCCAATGTGAAACACAGTGCCTTGTTGGGGTTGAAAGAGCTGCTGTCTCTGAGTCCTTCTCTGTTGGAACAGCATCTTTCACGCCTGCTCGCCGAAGTGGCAGCTGTCCTCGCCGACAAGGATGGAAATGTTCGTGTGGCAGCAACCCGGGTTCTCAGGTCCGAAAAGCACCCCGTTTTCAAAATGATGCAGGTCTTTAGCTCTTATATAAAAACACATTGTCTAAAACTTGTTGCAGGTTCATTGCACAGTCTGTGCCGGTAGAACGAGTGGCTCCGTTCTTCCCTCTCCTCAGCGCTCACCTGACCTGCGCTATGACCCATATCGAGCCAGTCATCCAGGAGGATGGCATGAATGTCCTGGACATCTTCCTGGAGCATTACCCCTCTCTGCTGGCCTCTCGACCTGTGGTGCTCCTCACCAACTTCTTGGAGCTGATCTCTCACAGGCAGAACTCTGGAGGAGCCAGAAAGGCTCAGTACGCCAGGGGCCGAACCTGGACACTCTCAGTCCACCCAGACAGGAAAGTGACCAGCCAGCAGTGGCGCTTCTCTGTTCTTCTTCGGTAACTGTCTGCCGACATGGTTAAAAAATGTAAGAAGTAAAAAGATTTTTCAGAATAAAAGCCTTGTTTGTTTAATTTCATCATGTTTCAGACTTGGAAACTATCTGCAAGCGGTTGTTGAGGAAAGACCAACGGAGGAGGACGACTTGTCTGTGCGAACCAAAGGAGTGTTCGGTTCAAGTGGGATGGGCCGTCTTACCCCTCTGAATCTGAACTGGGAGGAGCTAACTTACAAAAAGATTGATGTCAAGATGTATGAAAACTCTGGTGCCACCCCAACTCCCCACTCCACCTTTAAACTCAGGTATGATGTCATTCAGGAAGAAAACAATTTCATCACTCTATGTATGAGTGTGAAATCTAAGTCTAGTTTTGTCCTAAAACTAATTGCTTAGACCTGAGATGGACTCTGGTGGCGTGGGAAGCACGGGTCTGGACTCGGCTGAGACCATTCAGAGTTTCGCAGGCACGCTCGTGCCTCTGCTGCTGGAGGTTTGGGTGGAAGCCTGCGCCGGAGACTGCTCCTGGAACAGCACCGAGGGCGCCCACCTGCTCACACCTGGCGCCATGTCTGTAATGTTCCAGGTCTTATCTATTCTCCAGCTGCTGAGGAAACTGCCCACTCACCGTGAGAAAAAGGATGCACTGGTGAGATGAGATATGCACTTTGATATGCTCTTTGTTTTGTGTTCAAGTAATTTACTATGCAACAAAATAATAACAGAAGCCTTTGCTCTTGGCCAGGATGCTTGGTTTCGTCAGGAATATCTGGAAGACTTTAAACAACACTTCATGAAGAACTTTCCGTATGGTCTACAGGACACACCGAAACATAAGAAGAGAGTTGATCTCAAGAGGTAAGAATTTAATACTGTTCACTCTAGGGGTAGGCGATGTGGACTTAAAGTTTTATCAGTATATTTTATTGTATTACTGTGATAACAATAAATGTGACAATAAAAAACTATTTATTGTAAATCAAATTCTTATTGTGAAGAGATCTTTATCATGACGAATGATAATGCAATAAACGTCCACCCCTAGATCAAATGCATACATTAACAAACATTTGATTTGAGTAGCAAGAGGTTAGAAAACTGAAATGACTAGCTTTACATCATGTTATAATATTATTCCGTCATCAAAAACATACCTGGAGTGCTGCTTTGATTCTTTTACATTACGGAAACTCAGCCCCTTCAGACTAGCGGTAGCAGCAATTAGCCAACACCTGGTGGAACTGCACATTTCTTGAGCTCATTATAAGAGCTACTTCTGGGTCCAGTTCTCCGACAAACATCTGTAAACACTTGAAAGATAAATGTGGATGTGTTGTTCCATCACTTAAAATCACAGTAAAATGAAGGTAGTAAAAGTTAGAATGAGGTCAGATATAAAAACATTTGAGTTTTTACTGCATAGTACTTTATTAGTGTACATTGCTAGAAAATGTACATATTATTGATAATATGAAATCAGACATTTCATATTTCGAATCAGACCTGAACCAAACAGGGAGCTTCGGATATCAGTAGATGTTTGAAGCAACTAAGTTTGCCGACGCTTTGCTTTCCTCCTTTTCTCTCTGCAGGAACAAACAGACAGCGGCCGTCCCTTCTTCCACCGTAGAGCCCCTGGCTTTAAACATCACGCTCTGCCAGGTCATGGTGTCTCTCAGCCAGAAGCAGGGTCTCGGTCACGAGGCAGACAGGGACTGGCTGTCACCGCTGAGGGCTTTTGTTCGGGACACCCTGGGGAGTGGTGTGAAGCTGAGCTACAGGCAGCTACACATGCTGCTGCGCACCGTGTGGAAGATGGTGCTCACGCAGCAGAGCCGAGGTAAGCATGCGCATGATTTCATCAACGCAGAGGCGTGAACTTAATGCGACTACAAGAGTCCATTGTAGTCAGCGTGGCCGTGTATGTCACGCTCACCCGGGTAAACTGTAATAGAGATTTAACAAACCAAATAAAGGTGTCTAAAAGACTGAGTGTTGTAGATTTTAAAGTTAGTTTGGATGCCAAAAAAAGTTCAATAAGTTAAATGGCCCTTTTTCAGAAATGGGAACTGGATGCTGACATTATTGTTGGGGACGTCTGTGCTTGCCGCAGCATGTTTTGCATTGAGATGGTATTTTAGCCTTGCACAGCTTTGGATAGATAATTTTTTTAAACAAAATTTAACCCTCAGCAGGCCGAAAGAAGCAGCTTTGTTTTCCACCGATGTTTGTCGCTTGTGTGTCAGATTTATAGATGAATTAGAAATGCATGAATGCGGGGTGTGCTGTGGTGGCGCAGGGGTTGGCACGCCCCACGCTTGGAGGCCTCAGACGTCGCGGGTTCGACTCCCGGTCCCCGCGACCTTTGCCGCATGTCTTTCCCCCTCTCCTCGCCCTCTTTCCTGTCTGCCTACTGTAAAAAATACGAGCCACTAGCGCCGCAAAAACTATCAGGAGAAAAAAAAAAAAAGGTTCAGTTTGTGTTCAAATCTATAAATTAATTAATTAGCACATTAGACCTGAATTGACCCTAAATAAGGCCAAAGAAGGTGTCAAAGCATTATAAAAACAGTTAAGGAAACAAACATGAGGATGAAAAATTTTGGTTTTCTGTTTTTATGTACGTATTTTTCTGCTAAAATTGAGCAGAAATCAAGAAATTATGTATCTGGAAAATTTTTAAATATGAAAATGTGTCTAAACCAGATAAAATAATGAGTTTTATTAAAATAATTAGCCTGAAAACCCGTGCTCTGTGGTGTATCTGTGCAGCAGTGACAGAGGAGCTGTTGGCGGCTGTTTACATCTACTACAAGCAGAAGAACCTGCCTCTGCAGACGAGATCGCTGCTGCTCTCCTTCTACAGCAAACTCTACCTGCAGGAGCAAGAGCACACACACATTGCCAGGTAAACAGAGAAGATGTCAACGCCGCAGATCATCTGCTCAAGTCTGATTTGAGTTGATGTGAACGTGTCATCTGTCCATCTCTGCCTGAAGGAGCAAGGTGTTGTGTCGATGGCTGGCCTCTCTTCCTGTTCAGTTGTCCCAGCTGGGCCACCGTAACCCGGCTCTGTCTGCTCAGCTGATCGTTTTCATCCATGCTGCAGCTTCCCGAGGAAACAAAGAGCTTCTCAATAGTCTGCAGACGTACGCATGCAGGCTCTACGGTGAGACCACCTGTTATGATGATGATGGGAACGTTGGAAAGGACTCTGAAATAGCATTCAATGTTTTCCCAAACACTGAAATCTACAATCATACTGAACTGCAGCCAATCTGCTTATTTTCATCTGCTTGCAAATTGCTTCTGTAATTCTGATAAAAGAGGATTTTAATATTTTTCAGGTCTGCCCCTAAAATGTTTTATACATTTAGGTTTTGTTTTTCAGTTTGAGATATTTGCTTTGATTTCCACATAATGTGGATTTTAACATTTTATCCAGCAAAATTAAATTTTTGGGGGTTTAGAAACTGACTCATTTTTTTGTTGTTGTTTTTAAAGCGCGTAATTTCAGTTCTTTTTTTGACTTTAGAGAACTTTAAACTCGGGTTGTGACGAAGCTGTCGGTTTAAATTTTGGTTTGGTTTAAGCAGCCCTACCTAAAGATAAGAAGTAATTACTATTCAAGTAGTTAAAAAATGACATATTCTTTTCAAATCTTCAGAATTAAATTAAACTCAAGAAGAAAGCCTGAAATTGTAGTTCAAATATGTAATCAAATAATAAAAACAAACACAATCAAATGTTCCTGCAGACTCCACTGGCCACAGTCTGCTTGGTCCAGGTTAAAGTTCATGAAAGGACAGTTAGAAAAACACCGAACAGTACAGCTTGCTTGGATCATGCAGAGGTTTCTTTACTTATCCATTAAGAGATCTAATTTGGAAACTTCTGGGTCTGTGATGGATCGTAAGTCAGTCTGTAACTCCCATTGAAATGTGGTAATATTGGAACACTGAAGACAATTGGGAAAAGCTAATTTTTTGCAAAAGCTACAGTTTCATTTTTGTGAATGAAGTTGCAACACTCCCTTCTCTCGTCAGTTTTTGTTTTTAAGAATGAAAGCTTTATTTTTGCAGTTGCCATAAAAATATTTTCAAACATTATTTGTCCCCCAGGGGGCGGTATTGCTCCACACATTAATCTTCAGACAGCTTGCATATTGAAGTTACGTGTTCATGTGCGCAGCTCAGAGGATGAGTAGATAGTGAGGTGGCTGTGTGACACACACAAACACACACACACACACACACACACACACACACACACACACACACACACACACACACACACACACACACACACAGGCCTAAAGGGAGGAGGGGGTCCGACAGAGCGCAGTCCTCCATCACAAGACTCCTTTTGTCTGAGATCTTTTGACATCAGCATGTGCGTCAGAGAAACAAACCAAGACACGTAGAAAGTATCTGCACACTCACAGTGGCAGTTTTTCTGTACTTTTTTTTTGTGTTCCACAACAAATGAATAATCCAAGTGTCACTGTTTTGTAAACCTCTGAGGGTGCAGCGTGTTAAAAAACATTGTGCGTCTGTGTGAAGATCCTCAGGACGGTGTTGTGGTGCTGCTACCGGCAGAGTCCCAGCAGCGAATGGTGCAGCTGCTCTACTTCCTCCCCAAAATGCCCCAGCCTCTGCTGGCCAATCTGAGCGGCTGCTGCACCGCTGGACGCATCTCTGCGACCCTCGCTGCCTCCCTCATCCGTATCCTACACTTTAGGTGAGCGTCCGACCTGAGCTGTTCAATGATGCATTTTAAATCACATTGCCACTACAGTATCTTGTAGAAACATTCCCCCCACCCCCCCCACATTTTATGTTTGCACTGCAAATTGAAATCTTTTTTATTTGGATTTTATGCATCAGACCAATATAAACTACTGCATGATTGCAAAAAATGATCTGAATTTTTCTATAGAGGCTGCAGAGATTCACAGCCTGGGTGGGAGAGTCTTTGGAAAGGAAAAAAAGGTGGTCAACATATCAGAGCTTTTAACAAAATCCTGCGTTAGAAAATGATAAGAGGTCCAGTTTGTAGTTTATCACCAGACATGTGGGAGAAGGTGCTCTGGTCAGATGAGACAAAAATGAGCTTCCTCCCCCCATTATTCTTTGTGAATAAGCTCTGGCTCAGACTGAATGGAGAGCCTCTGTTGAACATTCGTTTTCAAGACCTGCCACAGATTCTCAGCTAGATTTTGCCACAACTTGCATTTTTATTCAACCCCTTTATTCTGACCCAGTTCAGCCAGCTTTCTTCAGGAGACATCTGATTGGTGAAGAAAGTCCAACTGTATGCAGTTATATATGTGGTGGAAAACTAACCCAGGACATCACCCTGGAAATTAAGACTAAAACGATTAATCTGATTAATCATGACTTGTTGATTATAGACATAATCATCAACTAGTAATTGACAAATCACTAAATGGAATCTTCAGACTCAAAAGGCAACTTGCTGAAAGAACAAAACACTCAGATCAGTAGCTAAACTAATATTGTACAAAAAATTTACGTATTTTTTATTTAAACTTTCTTAGTTTATAGATATATTGTACCCAGAACTCCTGCAAGTGATGTAGTTATAGCTTCACTTGATTCAAATTCTGTATTAAGCTACATTTTCTCTCCAATTACTAATTAGTTAATTGAAAAAATAGTGAACAGGTCAGCCCTGTACTGTAATAATGTGAAGTGAAGCGGAGTGGTTTATTCAAGTTTTCATGTAGTTTTTTTTAGGCAATTAAATGTTTTTGTTATTTAGAAAAAAGAATTTAAATATTTGTTTATTTATATTTTTAAATATTTTTATTATTGTATAAAATAAGCTTTTAAATGGTTCAATTAAAAATCTGCAGGATGTTGCACTTTTAAATCCAATGAATCGTCTGAATAACTGATTACTAAAGTAAATGCCATCCCCACAGTGAAACAAGGTGGTGGCAGAAACACGATGTGGGAAGATGGTTGTGTGTGTGTGTGTGTGTGAATATCAAGGACTAAATCCAATTAGGAATTTGCAGCGAGATTTGCTCTGGAGATGGACCGAAGAAGAATCAGAACATTTTCGTTCTAAATGTGCAAAACTGGTGGAGACATAAACCAAAAATATTTACAGTTGTAATCATAGTAAAAGGTTTTACTTGGAAAAATGCTGAAAACCAAGTATATACTACTTATTTTTACTACAATGTGTCGGACCGCCACATAAAGACCCAATAAAATCTGTTCCAAGTTCTCGGTTCTGATAAAATGTAAAAACATTTGAGCCGTCTGGAGCAAATGTAAAATTACCAGCCACCACAAGATGGCAGTATCGTGCTTTCACTGTCCATCAAATCTCTTAACTGCATCTTCAGCTCTTCAGGTGCAAATTTCCCATTTATTTTACATTCAACATAGTGAGCAGTATAAAAGCGAGTTCTTGCAGCAGCTCACCTTTGCCTGCCATGTTGTCTTTGACCTGTTTTGCCCCCGGTGTCAGTGGGCCAGTGTTACACAAATTTGGAGCGGTGAGATTGCAGAGTTCACATGGGATGTGTGCATAATGGATTTGATACAAAGAGTTCTTTGGGAGGCTGGAATGCAGCATCGTCATGGAGTATTGAGTGTAGTGCCTGCATGTGCCTCCCAGGCTTTCTAAAACACACACCGTTATTCACACACATTTCCTGCGGTTACACATGCATCCTCCCTGAGGACAAGGAGCCATTTTTCATAACTGTGTTTACGTGCGTTTTTGGCTCTGATAAATATTTTTGCTCTTATGAAACTGATAATTTCTAGATGTTAGAGGAGGATGAGCATATTCAGTTTTTTTGTGTTTTTTTTTTAAAGAAGCTGCATAACTTTGCGAGTGCTGTGTTCTGTGAAAACAGACTCTGTTCAGTATTTATTGTTCAGGACGCTATCTGCTTTTGCCCCTCAGGTCCTCTCTCAGCGGCTGGTCGGTCGGGAGCCAGGAAGCAGCTCTGCAGGACGTCGACTACATCAGCTTCCTGTTCTCGACCCTGGCGGGCTTCTCGTCCGAACACCTCGCCGTTCTGCAGGACGATGACACCGCCCTGCTGCCCTCCTCGTTCTCCCTCCTCTGCCTCTACCAAACGCCGCTGGAGCAGTTCACACACCACTGGGATGTTGTCGAGGTGCGAACTCTCCTCTCGCCAGTCGGCTTCGTGCACATAGTGAAACCGCCACAGATGCGGTCCTGAAAATAGTTAAGTTTTGATATTCTGGACACAGCTGTGGTCTTTCAGTCCCCCCTGGTCTCTCTGTCCCTCACAAAGAGCTCAGAGGAAGGAAGTTTTATCACTGCGCTCCTGCTGAGAGGGGACCCTTTATCATGTTGCGCAGGTTGGAGATGCGCGGTTATCAGGCGTAGTGGATATGCACAAATGGTAATGAGAGCCTGTGGCATGATGGTAGAGTGACATTTCTGCACAGAAATTACCACTAACCTAACTGCGCCTTGGGGCAAGTGTGTGAGCTGGTCGGGGGGGCTTATAATCACTAATTCAGCCCCCTCAATTAAAGCCTCAGATCCCTCTTCTCTCATCTTCCTGTCTGAGTCAATCACAGCCGAAGCGGGGGGCGGGGGACACGCGGTGGCAGCGTTACAAAACGGACCGTGTCAAGTCTGGTTCGGCTAATGAGACGGGATTGTTTTTAATGACGGGTGGTGGGGGACGGGGGGCGGACGCAGACAGGTGCAGCGTTCAGACACGCAGGCTCTCGCACCTCAATTTGATCAAAGGTAATGAGAAATTTGATTTGGATTTTCAAGTTAATGAAGAAAAGCAAAGTCTTATTTTTCACTCGTAAAAAGTTTGGCAGCAAGAAGGCCTGAAATTAATTCAAACAGGTGGAGAGCAATGCAAGTTAAAGAGGCCGTCATTAGGCAGCTGTTTAATTGTTCAGACATCATTACTTGATTTTTCTTTCCTGCAAACAAAGGTGAATGCAAAGAGCATGTTGGTTTTGGACATACAGTGGCTTTCAAAAGGCTACAAATCCAAAGAACATGATCAAAACTTTCGCACCTAAAATGTGATGATTATCCAGTGACCTTCAACAAAAAAGAAAATATGTTAGAAGGAAACCAGGCACTCTGTGTTTTAATGTGTACAAAATTAAGGCATTGAAATGTCTTAAATTTCGTAAAAGAAAATGTATGTTGGTTTTACGTATGACAATCTAATTCTCAAATTTTGATTTAACAATGCAATGTGAAAGCGAACCGCTCCAGTAACAAATGCTTAAAATTTGGTCCCCAATCAAATCGAGTGTATTGGACCATCTGGTGTGAAAACACCTAATGTCTGCTGTATACTGAACATTGTTGAATCTATATTAGCAAGAGACTTCACTGAAAATATGTTTGATCCACAGGAGGTGTGTCACTCTCTGGAAACCATCGGATCAAAGTCGCAATGCTTTGACATTCTGCAAAATGGCATCTTCAGATACCTGGTCGGTGTTCAGATATCTGCTCTGGTGCCATAAGAACCGTTCAGTTCAGTCTGTGCCTGTTTATCTCTGAATTTCTAATCAAGATCTTGTTTTTTTGTCTTAGATGAAGTTGGAGGTTGTTCCTGACAGCATGGCAGCCGGGCTGCTGAGAGCCGTTTCCAGACTATTAGACCTGTCCATCCTCCCCGCCGAGCAGGTGCTGCGTTTCCTGTCCCAGTGCTGCCTCAGCCTGCTGGTGCTGCTGGTCATCATGCAGCAGCACGCGCCCACTGAAACCAACCACAAAAGGTGCATTCTGGGGTCAAGACGCCAAGTTTGCTGCTTGGAGAGATTCCCAGAGTTGTTATCACAGCTCGTTTCGCAGTTCATTTCTGGAGTCTTGAGTGGCAAAACTTAAGAAATATAGAAGTTCAGTAGTTAAAATATGGGATGGATGATTGGGAAAGATATTTTAGATGGTACCATGTTCCATTTCTCACCAAAGTTTAACTAGAGAACTGGACATTAAGTTACATTACCGGTCAGTTTTAAAGCCTCTTTGTCTTCAGGGAGGCAATCTGGAGTTCCTGTGTGACGGCGCTCAGCAGCGTTCCTCGCCTGCTGCGGATCGTTCTGCAGTCGATGCACGTCGGAGACCTGAGCGCAGAGGAGCTGCCGCAGCTCGGCCAGATCCTCTCGATGCTGCTGCAGCACACGCCGCTGCACAACCAACTGATGGCCAACGCCGTGCTGCTGCAAGAGCTCATCCAGAATCTAACGGTAAACAATCTCGGCGCCCCTGTCGAACTTACTGGTAGAGATGAAAGTTGGCGAGTAGACAGACTGTTTACGTTCTGCATATTTGTGTTTTTAGAGGTTTTTCCGGGGAGCGACCAGAGAGCAGTGGCTGACAGATTTGCTCTACTGTTACAGCGTCACCGTGGCTCACGGCACCTCTGCACACCGTGGGAGCATGGGCCTCAGAGACATGTACTAACTTCACACGTTTAGCAGAGACAGAATCAAGAAACTGTTTTTTTTCTTTTTCACTCGTAGTTCACATAAACTTCACCTTTTTTTGTTGCCTTTCTAAGTTTTTCCTTAGTCTTTATTAAAGCGTGGAAAACCTTTGTTTAAAAAAATAGAATAAAGGAAAATTAAAATCAAAGGTAAGCTCATCTTTTTATTTTATCCGTCTTTTACATAGAGCTATAATATTCAGTTTAATATTAATTAATTTATAAAATCACACAGCTCTGATAATGAAGGCCTAATTCAGACATGCATGTTTCTTTTGAAAGGGAAAACGTTTAAAGAACAGACCGATGTGTAGAGTGTGTGTGGACTGCTGCAGGTGGGCTATCTGTATGACCGGCTGTTGATAGACTACCTCATTCTCTGTTGCGAGGAAAGGTTATCTTGGCGTGTGTGTGTGTGTGTGTGTGTGAGACTGAGGGGGGCAGTGTGTATGCACTCCCTCCATACTGGATGAAAGGTTATCTTTTACACACGCCATTTCTGTAGACTTAACCCCACCCTGTGAGGTCACGGCTCTGATGTCACATGACTTAATTGTAGAAAGCCCGGCACCTTGAGCCAACATTGTGTGCAGTAAAGTCTGACGAGGTGAGACTGACAGCCAGCTGAGAAAACAAACCGCTGCATTGTAGAAATATTCATAACCCTGCATGTCTTGGACCGTTTGTCAGGTTCAATCCCAACTAAAAATTTTGCACAAATTTAAGCCTTCTGGCATCGAAGGTCTTCAACTTCAGGGCCCGAGTCCCTGCGGTCTTGGTGCCCTTAAGAGTCTCAAATTTATGCATCAAAAAATAAGGAATCAAAATGTCTTAAATTTATTTTACATAGATGGAAGTTGGCTTTCAATATGTTAATCCCAAGTCTTATATTTTGTCACGGCAGAACTATTTAATCTCCATGACAGTGTATTAATGCCATTGTGATGGCATATTAGGGCCATTGTAGATATTTGAAACTCAGAACATTTCCAAAAGTCAAATAAAGCTGTAAAACACACTTATCAAACAAGACAGTGGGGGGATATTCAGGTTTTCCAAAAATGAAATCTTCAAAAACCAAAAATTTGATTAACAGATTAAAATGGCTTAATTAGGGCGTGATGTGGTGGCGTAGGGAATAGCACGACCCACGTTTGGAGGCCTTGATCCTCGTCGTGGGTTCGATTCCCAGACCAGATGATATTTGGCACATCCCCTTTCTTGTCAGCCTATTAGAGCAAAAAACCCCTGCAGGGGAAAACATTAAATAAAATGGATTAATTACCTAGCCCCAAGTACTCATTTAAACTAAAATGCTGCAATGTACAACCTGCCCAGATATTTCAATGTTTAGATGAAGCCTGAAAGCTAAAAAACAAAACACTTTTTTTTTTTTTTTTTTAGATTTTTACTTCAAGATTACAGAAGCGATGTGTTCGACTACCTCATAAAATCCCAGTAAAATACACTGAAATGTGTTTATTCAATGCACTGTTGGTAAACTGTGTGTGTTCAGGGTTTGCCCCGTCCTCTCGTCCCCTGTCCTGCGCTCTGTGGTCTCAGGTGGTAGGAGTACAGCTTGGCTTGAGTCAAGGCGCCGGTCAGGTGAATGCAGTCTAAACCGCCCACTGAAACACAAGCAGAAGACCGACTTTAAGAGCCTCGAAGGCGGTAGAGTGCTTCGTGTGAGGATGTAAGCACTTACACTGACTCTGGGTGCGTAGGGGAACGTTCAGCAGGAGGTGAGGCTGAGAGCCCTGAAGCGAGCGTCCTCGTCTCGTCATGGAATTGCCTAAAGGAAGGACATTGGGAGTTGGTTTTTAACCCCATAATTTCTGAATTCAGTGAGCCAAGGGTGGATCAGGACAGTGAGTCCTGTAAGACTGGTTCATCCAGGCCAGGTCCACACCCATGTCCTCCTGTCTTTATATGTGTGCTGTCACATCTCGACATACATCAAGGGCCCTATAGCTCAGTGGTTAGAGCACTGGTCTTGTAAACCAGGGGTCGCGAGTTCAATTCTCGCTGGGGCCTAACTTTACCCTTTTCCTGTTAATATTGCCTGCAAACAAACAAATGAACAAGCAAACAAATGCTGCACAGGTGTTATAGTTTGACAGATTTTGAGTGAGGGAGTGGCAGCGGTGCAGGGAGTAGTGTACATGACCCATGTACTCAACACAGCTGTTGTGGGTTCAAGTCCCAGGCCCTCTCTCACAACTGGCCAATTATGAAATTGGCCACCACAATTAGATGATTTCAGATTGATGAGAAATGATTCAGGGAACATGTAGAACCTGCTCTAGGTCCAATTCCTGTCCTGAGCTTTTTACAGCTCCTCAAGGCTAAGAGTGGCACACAATCTTTTGTCACTTTAAATCCAAATTAGCTGGAGCACTTTCAGTATGACTTTCACATAAAAATGTCTGCAAATAGATGTGCCATTATACCAACTGTCTCTGAGCATTATACAAACATATTTTCTGAATAGTAAGTAAACAATTAAACTTTTTTTTTTCAAGTACATACAGAGATAAAAACAGCTGACCAAATGTGCTGGAACTCATCTTGGGTTGCTCGGTGACAGTGCTGGGCTCAGCTGGGGTTGCTAGGTAACGGCGCAGTTCCCATAGGATGTGACTTAACAATTTTTGAAATGACTTGTTTTCCAGAGCTTTTTAAGCACCTGTGCTGTTTTTAGAAACAGTTTTAAACCTAAAGTGAATAAGAAAAAGGGGCAAAATATGAATCCCCTCTCATAAAAATATCAAAGAAAACAAGTCAAATGGTTTATATGACCCAGCCACTAGTGTGTGAAACATCCTGCTGCTTCATGGAAATGAAAAAGTGAGAATTCGCCTCATAAACATATGTATGTGTGAGGGCGCGTGTGTCGGATGGTGAGGCGTGTGTGTGTGTGTGTGTGTGTGTGTGTGTGTGGTGAGCGGAAAGCTCTACGCAGTCGTTTGACATTCCCCGTGACAGCGCTGAACTTTTCACAGTGCCAGGAACTGTCAGGTAGGGAGAAGGAGAGACAGAGGCAGAGAAAGGGGGAGGAAGACGATGAGAATGGAGTGGCGGGGGGAACAGCCGGACCGAGGACCCTTTCAGTCCGTCTGAGGGAGAGCGCCTGGGTTTGTGTGCGTTTCTGCCTGTCCTCCTATCATCACCTGGTGATGTGCGGTGAAGGTCGCGCCTGTCTGAGGGAGCGAAACCGCGGCAGAAACACCCGGCTGATGGCGTCCAGATACAAACACTGGTACTTACACCTGAGAGCTTGTCGCTTTTCATCCAAACCTACAACTTCACTCTCACAGTTCTGCAGCAGCAGCAGCAGCTATTTTTCTGTTACACTGACATCATTAACTTATTCATCAGCGATCAAACTGCAGAAAATATATTCAATATTGGAAAACCTCAGCTTAAAGCCAATGCAGCTGTTGTTTAGTATTTCCTCAGGACAAATTCCTCAGAGAAAGACTGCCTCATTCCCTTTCAAAACATCTGAGTTTTGCTCTCCAGGGAGCATTTTTATGTAAACTCCTCAGTGCACCTTAACGCAACTATGAGTGTATTTAGACATGGAGGTGAAATCTATTTGTTTTTAAACAGCTGTTGAGTTGTTTCAGGTGTTGCCATAGAGTTTAAAGCTCTCCATCTCCATCCCGGACCTGTCTGTGTGCTCTTTGGTCTTGATGCTGTTTTTCTAATTCTGATTGACAAATTTTATGTTGGGGTATCAAAGTAAGACTTCTCAATACAACGCTTTCCACACTTTTCACAGAAATTACATTAAATGTCAATTGAACATCATATTTTGAGGTTGTAACATGACAAGAGTTTTACAATGTTTTGCAGCATCCTGGTTCTCTTACCATAGATGCTCTGCAGCACAGAGCTTTTACTCAACACAGGTTTGGCAAGCACTGCTTTGTTTTCCACTTTTTTCCTTCCGGGGGTGCAGCTCGACTTGCTCTGCTCAGCTTCTTCACAGGCCCTCACCTCTGTTCTCCTGCGTGCACAGAACCTGAAATCAACCAAAAAAACCCATCTCAGACGGCGTTCAAAGGCCCAAACGCTGGCGAGCCCCCACACCGACACTCACGAAGCGTAAACAAAGTAAACAGTTTATTCAGAGCACTTAACAAGCAGCATGTATACAACTTAAATGTGAAGGCCGCAGAGAAACAGAGGGCCTCCTGTGGGGGATTGGCAACCTCTAAGAGGAACACAGCAAGCGTAAGAAGGGTAGAGGGGCTGCTGGTAGCTATTAGCGCAGCCCTGCTGAACTTTTAGCCTCTTGTTAAATCTGTATGAAAGATTTAGATTATAGCCTTTCTGTTCTCACTCTCCCACGTTCTCTCCCCCACCGCTCTCCTGCTGATGGCATCCAGAGCAGTTAATGCTCAGGGTTGGGGGGTCGGTGTTACAGGAGGGAGAAGACACATGAGGGCACCACATGGCTCGTACAGTTAAAGCACGTTGACGTTACCGAGATCCAACCGAGGTGTGAGCCTCACCTCTGCCACGCTCGCTGGATGATCCGTGCGGCCTCGTTCCTCCTCACCTGCTCCTTCTCACGCTCCCTCCCACCAGGCTGCGTTTTTCTGCGGGGCCTTTTGGGATGTAAAGACGAGCTGCTCCTCAGTGATGGAGCTTGATGTCTGACCTCTGAACTTGGCTCTTTGTGGTTCCGGTGCTTGCGTGACGAGTGACCAGTCGTGGCAGGGTCTTTCTTTCTGCCGTCTCTTGAGTTCGCCTCGGCTCGGTCTGCAGAGGAGGCCGTTGCGGATGCAGCGGACGCCACAGAGGAAGACCGTTCTTCGGCAGCTTTGGCCTCTGTGGAAGGTGTAAGTTTAAGAGTGGGGGGTTCTCTGGAGCCGGCGGGAGAGAGAAGCTTCTTCAGCCGGGTGTGTTGTGAGGCGTCGGGTGGAGAGCGGTCGCTCAGGGCAGAGCTGCAGCTCAAAGCTTCTTGTCGCTCAGCTGCAGCACTTCTTCTGGAAATCTTGATCTTCTGGCCTGACAAGGAAAAAGGAAAAGTCAATTCAATAGCTCACTTGGAAAAATATGACTCAGTAGTCCTGTTTCCATCAAGGCTTTTCATACCTTGATGATTTTGAATTAACGCAAATAAATTTTCTTTTAAAAA